TCCATCACCTGATCGTGAAAGAAAATTATGGACTATTTGGGTAGAAAAGAATGAAAACATGAATTGTGGGTTCAGAAAGAATGGAGAATAAATTTGATTACGGAGGATTGATAGAGATTGATTGATTCAAAGAGAAGGGAGAAAGCAGACATACGAACACGAGAAAGGAAAGTGTGATGACTGATGATTTGAACTTAGAAAGAGGAAGATAGAGGAAGCGTTAATAGAGGAATAGAGGAACAGAAATAAAAATGGAATTTCCTAGAGAGATAAAGAGGGCATAGGCAGAAGAGGTGAAGGAAGACGAGAGAGAAAGGAATAAGTAATTATTGGAATATGCTACAATAATTATACCTTTCTTATTTTAACTAGCAATTGGGGGTGTGCAATGGTCTGATCCGTATCGGATCGCATCGAACCAAACCAAAGTTTGGACCCCATAAATTTTATAATGTGGTCTGGTCCCTCTGGTCCCCATAAATTTTATCATTCTTGAAGAAATGATGAATCGAACTGATATTTGGATCGTACTAAACCGAATTAAATGGACCAAAAACTCAAAAATAATCTGATTCTTAGTTCTAAAATGTCTTTCACTAATAGACCAAAATTCTCATGTCCGGATCGAACCATTGCACAACTCGTACAAGCCATTCACATCTTTACTATCGATATCTGATTTCGTCACCCCATCTAAAATCTTCCAGTACACCTTACCTTAGTCCATTTCTATCTAGTACTGAAAGGGATATAGGAGAATGCACATCATTTTGACGGGCCGCTAAATTCTAACCCAAAATCATTTATGATTGGAGTGGATCTAATGTCTTCACCACTTTGACTATGGGTCTGTTTCCCTTTTCAACTCTTCTTTATACACTAATATGATATGAGATTGTTTACCATTTAACACGCTCACACACCTGTGCATAACTTTTTAACTAATTAAATTTAACAGGATAAATTCTTTAGTTATAAGTCAAAATTATTTTTTTTTACAGAAAAATTATATTTATCTTGTTATTCAAAATGATATTCACTAGTTTATATTCACTTTAATATATTTTGTAACAAAAAATGAAAAACATATATTACTAGTCTATACTATGGTGACAATGTTTTGAAGTACATAAGATTATACCATGATGGTATGAAAGTGTATTATTGTGGTATAAATATTTTTTAGTCATATTACCCTCACGGATAAAATAAGCAAAGATGGGGAACCACAATATTATAGTACCTCCACTGACTCAATAACGCAGAACAAACAAAAAGTCATATAGACTATGGGTTAAACCGGGATAGCGAAGGGCATTGTGTGCCACCAAATGGGTATCCCTATTCACATCTCGAGGTGTGACCGCTAAACGAATGAAAGGTAGAATACTAACTAAACTGTGAACTTCGCGAAGAATAGCACCGCCATGAGCAGCCGAAGTAGTACAATTAAGCAATTGATGAATCACATGTTGGCAATCACTTGTAATCATGATAGGCCGATTATTGTGTTATAAATATATCATAGTGTAAAATAGTTGTATACATGATACTATAAATATAATAATAATCATTTATCATCTTTTCCCAACTTCTACTACCAGTCAGCAGTCATCACCTAATACAAATGTGGTATATTTGGTATAAATTTGGTTTTCATAAATTTGCAAATCACAGTAGATTAGGATGAACTCGTTCTTTTTTTATGTGCAAAACTTTTCAAAATTTGAGTTAAAAATGAATGTGGTACATAGTGGTACCAGGCGAATATTTCTCAAAATATATTAAAAAAATTGATATAATTTTGGACATCACAATGAATCTGTCACATCTGTGCAAAAAAAATTAAAATGCGAGATAAACCAAAGAACATATAAGTCGATTAAAATTAAAATAGCAGTGAAAATAAAAGTATGTTAATCTCGCTCCTTACAAGTTACATCTAGCCACCCTCAAAATTAAAGAACCAAATATGATTATATACAAATGCATAATCAAAGGTTATGCACCCTGTCATAGATCTTAACACATGATGTTAATCTCGCTCCTTACATCTAACCAATTGAATTTAACAGGATAAATCTCTTTGGTGTTAAGTTAAAGTTTTTCTTGTAAATAAAATTATACTAATCGTGTCCTTTAATATGACATCCACTTATATGTGTTTTGGAACAGAAAAAGAAAGGCATATATTAATAGTCTATACCATAATAATAATACTTTACAACACTACATGAGATTATAACATGGTTGTATGTAAGTGTATTATTTTGGTATAAACATATCATATTGTACAGTGATAGTATACAAGATACTATAAATATAGTAATCACCATTACTACATTTTCACCATGTTCTACTACCAGACATCACCTTATACCAGGTGGTATATTTGCTCCTATAAAGTTGTTTTTCATAAATTTAAAAACCACAATAGATTACGAACTCGTTTTTTATATCTAAAGTTTTTAAGAATTTGAGTTAAAAAAAGAATGTGGTACATAGTGGTAAAAAAATCTCAAAATATATAAAAAATTATATAGTTTGTACATCACAATGAATCTGTTACATCTCTGCAAATTATTTTAAAATGTGAGTTAAAACCAAAAAGATACAAATTGATTAAAAAATAAAATAGTAATGAAAATAAAAGCATGTTAATATCACTCTTTAAATCAGCCACTCTGAAAACTAAGGGACGAGATATGATTATATACAAATGCATAATTAAGGGTTCCCTTGGATGAGTAATTCTAACATATCAATTTAAGACAATCTGATCAAATTGATCTATTGACAACACATTATATAGATGCAATTCTTTCTGAGAAATTTCAAATTCGGTTAGTTTGAGACAATTACAAATGTATGGGGTGGGGCCAGACAATTCAAATTAACTCATTTTGTAAAATGAGACAATTGGCCAAATTATCTCTTTTTTCAATTGAACTAACCAAACGACGTTAACATGCCAGGTAGAAACTAAAACTTTATAAATTCAAGAAATGAGAAAAGAAGATCGGGAAAAAAATGATAAAAAGGGGCAAAGGCCTCGAAAGAATTGAACGGATATGTGAAGTGGGGAACCGATGGATTCACGAGGTATACTGTAGGCTAAAAGGCTAAAAGGGAATCTTTTTTTTTTTCAATTTGTTGTACTCACTTTATCACAATGCCGCAATCTACCCGTAGGAGACGTGTTTAGCGCATACTAAACGATTTTTGCTGTCAAATTAGTATATTGATACTTTTAGATGGCCAAAAACGTTAAACAAAGTAATTCGACGATGTTAATACGTTCTGAACTTGCCATTTTCAGCAATGTGGTAACAACCAATTACTGTTAATTCATAAAATAAAACGTCAGAACTATTGGTGGTTTGAGTTGGGAGAGAACAATTCGGGAGGAAGAGAGTAGGGATGGCAATGGGTCGGGTTGGGGCGGGTTTTGTCAAACCCGAACCCAAACCCATGGGTTTATCCGTCAAAAAAACCCGGGGTAAAACCCGTTGGGTTTGAAAAACTCAAACCCAACCCAACCCGCTGGGTATCCGCGGGTTCATGGGTACCCATGGGTTTTTGTGGTAAAAAATTTACAATAACAAGTTTCTTTCAAAATAAAAGTTTAACATCAATTTTCTCATACAAATTATTCATACAAAAAACACCAATCTAGAGCATACAAACAAACCGCAAATGATCATTACAAATTGTTCAAAATTAAAGATAAACATCTATAAATAATAAGATTAATTGAAAGCTTCTTCCTCGTCAACTAAATTTCTTCACTCTCCACTTCATAATATCAACTTCATTCTAAACAATTAGAAAGAACAAATTATACATGTCTCCACAAACATAAAGAATATTAGTTGTTTAAGGAAGATATATTATTTAGAATATTAAAATATACCGAGAAAATAATTATATGTGTGTGGGCGGGTACCCATGGGGCGGGTTTACCTAAACCCAAATCCAACCCGACCCGGTGAATAGTGTAGCGGATTTAAACCCGAACCCGGCCCAAAATCCGTCAACACGGGTTTTACCCGCGTTGACCGGGTTGGGTCGGGTGGGTACCCGTGGGTTCGGGTTTTGTTGCCATCCTAGAAGAGAGGTGTTTGCTTCTGCCAGATTGCCTTTGGCTGGACCTACCATTTCCCTTTTTTTCAATTGTCAAAGAAAGAGGAAAAGGCAGATTAGAAAAAAAAGGTTGTAGTTGACTTGATTGATTGAGCGCTGAGTGTTTTCAGTGTCCCACTAAAAGTTCACACTACACTACATGGACTTCGTTGCCATAGCACATTAGTGATTTACAGCTCGTGCGGGTTGCTTCACTGTATCAACCAAATCAATGGTTGCCGTTTTAGCAGGAGATGCGATTTGATGAACCCAAGCAATTAATTACAACATAGTGGTTGGACCACGAGAGTATTAATATTTTAGTTAATTAAGAAGAACATTTTAAAGTAATTTCTTTTTAATTTAGGCATAGAAATTTTGTCGTTAATTATAACGTCGTCAATAACGAGAACACAATAAGACTAGCTCCAACCCATGGTGTCAAAATGCTATAAAGTCATATTTGGCTTTTTTTCTTCCTCCAACCCACAAAAAAATGGGAAGCAAAAAATGGGTATTGGGTTTTTGGAAGGGAAATATGGCTGGGTTTTGGGGTGGGGAGTGATATTTGGCTGCCAAAAAGTGGGGAGCTTGTCAGCTAGCGGAGAAGGGCGCACGCGCGCGGATGCGCCCCAGGCGCGCGTCCGGCGCCCTTCTCCGCAGCTGACGTGCTGTAATGTTTTTTTTTCTTTTAACTTTTGTTGGTTGGGAATTTGTTTTGCCAATTTGTTTTGAATTTTTTTTTCTCTATTCTCATTGGTGGTTTGTGATTCAATTTGAAATATAAATTTGAAATAATTGATGTAGTGACGAAAAAACGGTCATATTTTAACGGTCATATTTTTTCTTATATATTACAGCACTCTTCATAGATTTCTCTTCACTCATTCTCAGAGCATAAATCGCATTCTCTCAAAATTCAATTGTTATCGTCTCTCAAAATAGAAATATGACAGGCAAGAGAGGACCTAATTGGCGTCCGAATGAAGATGAAATCTTGTGCAGAGCTTGGGTGTCGATATCAAAAGATGGAGCGGTTGGCACCAACCAGAAGTCTACAAGGTTGTGGGAAAGAGTGGCGGCAGAACATAAAAAATGGGATCCTACTACAATTCGTACTGCTATTGCAATGGAATCCCGAATGAGGATTATTTGCTATCACTGCAATGCTTGGAAGGGAGTTTTGCAAAGAGCACAAAGGCATCAATCGAGTGGCACGAACCAGTTTGATGTGGTATTCTTTTGGACCCTCAACTTGTGTATTTTCTTATTTTTATATGTGTCAATATAAACTTCTCTAACCCATGTATTACATATTTTATTAGGAAAAGGAGGCAAGAGCAATATATAAGCAAGAGAATGGGAACAAGGCTTTTGATTTTGAGCATTGTTTCGACATTCTCCGAAATTGTCCAAAGTGGTACTCCAATCCTGACCTGCTTGTTAGTCCCATTCCACCTATGGGGGCAAGGTTCCCAAAGTTCTCCCACAGGTTTTGGTTCTCAATCATCTCCCGTGGAAGGCCTTGATGACTTACCAGATGAAGGAGCTACGCCTTTCGTGTTGACTCGCCCTGAAGGACGCGACAAACAAAAGGCAGCAAAGAAGAAAGGTAAGGTAGTTGCTGAATCGTCAGACATATACACTACTCAACTGCTAGAGTTTGGTAATGATATGAGAGAGAGGCAAAAGTCGAGGATGGAGTATGAAAACAGAAAAATGAATGTTCAAGAGAGGAGACTAGAGCAGGAGAAAGAGGAATGGACATACAAGAGGCAAGTGAGGGAGCGTGAAGCGGAAAAGTGGGCTGTGGAGAAGAAAGAGAGGGAAGCTGCAATACTTCAACAAAATGTAGCTATTCTAGAGAAGGATTTGTCAAAGATGACACCAAGAAAGAAGAGATTTTGGAGGCGTAAACAAAATGACATTTATGGGTACGATCAAGATGATCCCAACTCTTATCCAAGTGATGGCGGAGATGGAGATGGCGATGCAAGTGGTGGAGGAGATGGCGATGAAAGTGGTGGAGGAGATGGCGATTACTTTCCTGTCATGGATTATTAATTAGAAGAAGATCCTATTTGTACTCTATTGTCTTTACATCTTTAATGTGTTGTGTGTTCTCTTTCAACTTTGTTATTTTCATGTTTCATGTGTACTCTTTGAACTTTGAGCAATTCCATGTGTAATAAAAACAAGTGTTATTGAAAGTTTGAAATACAAACAAACAAGCAACATGAAATACAATCACACACTGAAACTTAAAATACAAACAGCCAAGCAGCATGAAATACAATCACACACTGAAACTTGAAATACAAACAACCAAGCAACATGAAGTAAAACAATTCTAGATATTGCCGTGCAAATTCCAAAGATGCTCAACCAAGTCATTTCTAAGCGCATGATGTGTTGTAGATGAGCGAAGCCTGTTATTTCTAGCCAAGTAATCAATTAAAGTTGATTGGTGTCGGTTGATTGGTTCAGGTTGTGCATGGACCTCATAATCAAGGTCATCATCCATCTCGTCATCAGAATCAACCTGCTCATCCTCGATTATCATGTTTGTAATATAATGCACGTCAGCATTATATTGTTAAGCGTGACAACATCCCAAGCTCTTGTAGGGCCACGAACAATTGCCCATCTTGTTTGGAGGATTCCAAATGCCCGCTCTACATCTTTGCGGTGTGCTTCTTGATGTTGAACAAACAAAGCCTCTTTGTTTGACCTTGGATTGCTGAAGGTCTTTACTAAAGTCGACCATGAGGGATAAATACCGTTAGCCAAATAATAACATTGATCATAAGCATGACCATTTACCTCAAATCGTACATGTGGAGCGCTTCCATTGACGATACGATCAAACACTGGAGACATCCCCAGAACATTTATATCGTTGTTCGATCCAGGTGTCCCAAAGAAAGCATGCCAATATCCATGTGTTGTAGGAGGCCACCGCCTCCAGAATGATTGTTGGCCTATGCATGTGGCCGGTGTATTGTCCTGCCCAACCACTTGGACAATTCCTCCATTCCCAATGGATGCAGTCAATTGATCCAATCATTCCAGGAAAGCCACGACTTGAGGCTTTACGGAGTAAGATCCTTAAATCAGCAGGAGTAGGTGCGCGAAGGTATGTGGCCCCGTACATGTTGATAATGTTGTTGCAAAACTTTCTGAAGACCTCCATCAAGGTGCTCTCACCCATACGAACATACTCATCAAGTTGATCAGCTGGAGAACCATATGCTAGCATGCGCATCGCACCAGTAAGCTTCTGCTCTGGAGATAGTGACAATTGACCAAAGCTATCACTCCTTAGAGCAAATGAGGGGTCAAACCTCACAATGTCGCCCATAATGCGATGGAATAATCTTGGCTGCATCCGATAGCGCCTTCTGAATATGCGAGCATTGTATACTGGATTTGGATCGAAGTAATCCCTCATAAGACGTCGATTACATTTGACCCTCTCACGATCAATGTGACGTCGGCTTGTAGTTTGACGGCGACTTGATGCACCTTCAGCCAGCCTCCGACCGATCAAACTCAAATGTAGGTGGTGAAACCTTTCGTACTCTTCGTTTTCTTCTTCTCCAGACGATGAGCTATCTGAGATACTCATGATGAATGTGTTTGTTTTAGAAATGGGAAGAAGTTTTAGTTGAGTTGATGAAAATGAAGAACTGTCATTTATAAAGACATTTGGTGCAAAAAAAAAAAACGGTCGTAAAGTAACGGATACAAAAAAATGGTCATATTTGGAGTGGTCCCGAAGTTTTAACGGTAATATTTTAACGACTAATTTTTGGAAAAAAAAATTATCTCGGAATTTTAAAAAAAAATTACATCGAAAAATTTGTATTCAAAACTAATAACGAGCTATGAAAAAATTAAAGTGAAATATAAAAATTAGAGGTCAAATAAGTATGGTTTATTGAAATAAATTGAAAAAGGGAAATGGGAAGCTAAATTTAGCTTTTTATAGGGTTGGAGTGAAAAGTGGGTTTGGGGAGCTAAAAAACCATATTTGACCATTTGGGGAGCTAAATTCCCCTTTATGAGTTGGAGTTAGCCTAATTGATGGATTATATAAGTATAACAAAGAAAACATATATAAAGCCAGTGTAAATGAGCTAAATTATAAAACAAGTTCCCTCTAATTAACTTGTTGGGGATGAGGCTAAGTCGTCGCGCGTCAAGTAGCCGCGTCCGGAAAACCCCCAAGCTCACGTGCCTCTATCGAACAGGAACAACGTCTGGCATTATGTCCCATCGTGTGTACTACTCACCTACCGCAATGGGCATATAAATACATCATTTACTGCGGAGAGGAGGGGATCAAACATTAAAGCGAAACCATTCTCTCTCTAACTTTCTTTGTCTACACTTTTTCTCTATGTAATCTCTCTATTTGACATTGGAATAATATACCACAGAATCCTTTGTAGCGCGTTGCATACCAAACTTACTCAATACCCAAATTAGTACTTCGTGTCTCCCTCATACCCCAGCGAGACATAAACATTACTAATTCATGTTTACCTCCTAATTTTAACTAGTATGTGGCAAGAACTAAATAATTAAGAGTGTGGATTCAATTATAGGTGTCAAAACATAGCCCGACCAGATTAACCCGCCAGATCAACCCAACCCGCAACCCGACCGCAATCCGAATTGACTAAAAGTCAACAACCCGTAACCCGCCCGACCAGCAACCCGATTGACCCGCAACCCAACTAACCCCCAACCCGACTAACCTGCAACCCGATTAACCCAAACCCGATTGACCCACAACCCGACTGACCCGCAACCCGATTAACCCGAACCCGACTAACCCGTAACCCGACTGACTCAACCCGAATTTCATCTAATCCACTTGAATAATTATAAAAATATACAATACATAGTTTTTCAAAATAAAGTTTTTCATTCTAAACTTAAGTAAAATTATTTTTTCATTTCGTATAAGACATTTTAAAAATATGAAACTCACTTGATATTACGTATTTTAAGAAAATTAAAAAAATTGAAACATGAAGGTCACTTGAGATCATGACAATATTAATATAATATATAAATTAAAATTTTGGTTAATTTAACTATTCAATAAAATTATCAATTAAATATAAATAAAGTAAAGTAATGTATTTGGTAATTTGATGTTTTTAAAAGAAGAGGGAAATTTTGGTGTATTCAAGTTTTTGGGAAGAGAAAGAAGAGGGAAATTTGGTTCTTTGAATTTTTTAGAAAAGAAACAAATGGGAATTTTGGTGGTTTTGATATGTGGGAAGAGAAAGAAGTGAGAAAGTTTGATTCTTTTGATTATGAAAGAGAAATAAGAAGGGAAACTTTTGACTTTTCAACTTTTTGTAGAAGGAAAGAAGAGGGTAATTTGGTTCTTTCAATTTTATGGAAGAGAAAGAGGAGGGAAAATTGAGTTTTTCTAATGTATGGAAGAAGAAAGAAGGAGGGAAATTTTAGTATTTTTGCGAAAAGAAAGAAGGAAACAAATTTGGTGTTTTCAATTTTTTGGTTTTTCATAATTTTAGCTTTTGAAATATGTATCTTTAACTTTTATATGGAGGGCATGACTAGTTAAAATTATTCTTATATGCTTTGAAGGCTAATATGTATATATGTATGTAATTTTTTATGGGCTAATAAATAAATTAACCAGTAGTTACAACAATTCTTTGACGGTTCGTTGTTTAGGATATAAAGTATATGGTTAGGGTATAAGGTATAAGGTACATATGGTTTAGGGTGTATATGGTTAGGGTATAAGATATTGATGGTTTTGACGGTTCTAAGTTTTTTTATTAACATATGTTCACTTGAAGCCATTTGAAGTCTTTAACGGCAGGAGATCCCTTTTTAATTTATGTTTATGGTACGTGGTTAGGGTACAAGGTATGTGGTGTAAAGTATATGATATATGGTTAGGGTATAACAATTAGCAAATATCACTTTTTATCTATGTTTTGAAAATCAAAGTATGAATTTCACTTTTAAATTAACTATACTAGCAAATCACAACTCAAAGACATATGGTTAGGGTATAGGTTATGTGGTTAGTGTATAATGTATTGATGGTTTAGGGTATACAATCAACAACATATACTAACTTAATATTGTTGCTTGAGGGTAAAGCTAAGTGTATAGGATATATGCTATTGAGTAAGTTATGATTGAAGTCACAATAATTTTACTAAATTTGATAGCTAATTTTTAATGGTTCAATTTTTAGGATAATTCGAACAATTTTACAAATAACCCGTTTGGCAACAGTTTACTAAGGGGTCATTTGGATGGAGTATTTGTATGATTTATTTGGGTTCAAATAACTCACAATGAGTTATTTGGATGCAAATAACTCGTTTGGCAGCGTTTTAGTGAAATGAGTTATTTGGACAGTGAGTTATTTACAAATAACTCAAAACGAGTTATTTGAAATAACTTATACTCATGTGTTATTTCGAAATAACTCGTTTTATCACTATGCTTTTACCAAATACCACATTTTCATGGTTCAACCAAACGAGATACATTATTTCAATTACCACTAAAATAACACTAAAATACCACATGAGCAATAAATGAGTTATTGGACACTACAAATACCACATTGACAATTAACCCATCCAAACGACCCCTTAAAGTTATTTGGGCAATGAGTTATTTTGAAATAACTCCTTTTATCACTATGCTTTGCCAAATACCACACGTCAAATATCATATTTGCATGGTTATACTAAACGAGATACTTTAATCCAATTACTACTGAATTTATACTAAAATATCAAATAAACAATTAACGGTGTCTTTTGGTTGCAAATATTCATATCACCATTACTATTAGCTATAATACTTTACCAATTATGATTAATTACATAACAAGTTTGCAAGTCATACAAATTGATTTAACATTTTGACTATTTTTTTTTAAATAAAGTATATATATACGAGGTAGAAATAAATTGGTTAAAAAGTTGAGAAAATATTTTAAATTAGTGTAATAAAATGTGTAAGTTGGTAATGAGTAATGAGTTAAGTTACTTGATGCGCTGGCCCGAACAACCCGAAACCCGACCCGCCCGACCCAAAACCCGATGAACCCGCAACCCGATTGAATCCGAACCTGATGAACCCGCAACCCGACTAACCCACAACCCGTTTGAACCCGAACCCGATGAACCCGCAA